GGTCCATGGAATAATTGTCCTTGTAGACCAAGTCTTCGTCTCCTGTAGTTGCTGGGTTTGCATTTACATTATTGATTTGAAGAGTCAAAACCACTATTTTCTATAAGCCCATTGGCAATTAATCTTTGTAGGCCAGGTCTTTTGAATATGAAGTATTAGTTTTTTTTTAGCACCAATACCACATTTTATTTTTAGCACCAACACCATATTAAATCAAGATTTTTTTTTTCTTTTTTCTCTCTCTTTTTTGTTTGAGAAATATTAAAATGGATTGGGCAAATTGGGTTATAATAGTTTTATCAATCATCCAATTATAATGTTTCATATGGTATTGGTGCTCAAAATAAAATTTAATTTCATAATTTTTCATATAAATTTTAAAAAATATAATAAATATACCCTTAATTTATGATTTAGAAAAACCTTAAAAATAGGGTTTTATTTAACTTATTATATTCTTAAGATACAGACTAAGAATATAATTATGTTCAACAAAAAAAAGATATAATTATTGTATTTTTTAGTATTAAATTATATAAAAACTTCAAAAGTGGATTTTATTTTTACCACTAATATTATATAGATTATTTTAATTAAATATTGTAGTTGATTAAATAAAAGTTAATTTTTTTTAATACTAATTAACGTAAAAAATATGGATTAATTATACCATTAAGGTTAAAAAATTCTTAAGAAAACAATCATTAACACCTTCTAGTTGCTAAACCAATTAATATACATTTAGTGTGAAAGGGATTGCATTACATTGTTGATCCGAAAAGTGAAACCAATTAAGGGTCCATGGAATAATTGTCCTTGTAGACTAAGTCTTCGTCTCCTGTAATTGCTGGGTTTGCATCTACATTATTGATTTGAAGAGTGAAAAAACCACTATTTTCAAAGGCCCATTGGCAATTAATCTTTGTAGGCCAGGTCTTTTGAATATGAAGTATTAGTTTATTTTTTACTTTAATTGTTGGGTTAGTTAAATATTTTTGTGAAATCAACAATTTTTTTTTATAGAAAATATTGAAATGTTTTTGTAATATATAAAAGGAAAAGAAAGTACCATGCAATATAAACTATACTGAATTATATAATTTGAATCTTATAATATTGAGGATGATCCTCTCTCATGTACTAATTCATCTCTTTATAGGCCATATCTTTTAAATTTAAATTACACCAAATTGTATAATTTGAATTTCATAATTTGGTCGATTAGTAAAACTTAAATAAATTATTATTTTTTATACAAATTAATAATAAAAAAATACAATATATACATACTTAGAAAATCCCTAAACTAATCACTAATATATAACTTCATGATTAGATGTTTAAATAATCGCTAATAAAAAATTTCTCTCATTTCAGCCTTCTTTTTTTAGGAAGATTATGATGTTTAATTAATTGCTAATATAAAACTTCTCCTAGTTACTTTTATACGCTAAAGGAAATAATACATCAGTTTTACAAGTTTAAAAGAAGAAAATGGCATGCGAATTAAAAAAAATTATTTTTCCTATAATGCTTTTGGGAATTGAGAAAAATTAAAATATTCTAATAATTAATTAAAATATTAAGATTAACAATAAAAAGACTATAATATTATTAATAAATTGATATATAAAAGTAATTTATTACAAATATTTAAATAATTTTACATAGTCTTGACATTTAAAGGCAAATGTGCATAATGTCCTGTATGTTCTAGATATCAACAAAGGTCTTTTTTTCTTAACAAAAAAAATTGTTCACTCGCTTAGGCTTTAGTTTTATTTAATTAACTTGTTTTTAAACAATTATGTTCATTCGATTAGAACAAATAAGATGTAACATTCAATGCCAAAGGGATAACAAGCTGCTAATTTTTAATAAAATAAAAGATCTTAATTTAAATTACATAATATATTTAAAGAGCAACCTACAATTAAAAGTAAAAAAACACAGATTCAGTGTGTAAGGCATTGCGTTGCATTATTGATTGGAAAAGTAAAACCAAAGATCTATGAAGTAATTGTGCTTGCAGACCAAGTCTTTCAAGTCTGAACCATTTGTTTTCTTCTTTATTACAGGATAACGAAACCACCAATTTCTATAGGCCCATTAGCAATTAATCTTTGTAGGTCCAATTCCATTTTTGCTTCTTGTTTTCTTTTTTCAAATGAAAAGGCCAGGTCTATTGAACCATTTGTTTTCTGCTTTAATCACAGGATAAGGATCGTGATACCAACAAGGCAAGACCATCAATTTCTTTAGGCCCATCGGCAGGTCTTTTTTGGTTTTTTATTTAGATTTTTCTAAATTATGCCTTTAAAGTATAATTTAAAATTTTTTTATTATAAATAAATATAAAAAATATAAAAATTAATATTAATTTTAAATTTAAATAAATTTAATTAAATAATTAATAAATTAAATATTAATTTTTTAATATAAATTTATAATAAAAAATATGTTTAATATATATATATATATTTGAAACGTATGTTTAATATATCTTTAAGTTATACTCTTAGATTATAAATTACATAAACTCTTTTTATTTTAACTGAAAAGGCTAAATCTTTCGAATCTGCAGCATTGTTCGGTTTCAACTTTAATGGTTGGGTCATAAAATTGACTACATTTTAGTGCAAACGTATATAAAGGGTTTACATTTTGTCAAATGTAATGGTTTAGTGGCCGAATGATCTTGCATTTTTCGTGGGCTCTTAGGCAAATTAATCGAAATTTTAAATATAATAGATTTTTTTGTATATTGGTGAGTATACGAACATGTGTAA